ACGGGACTGCTTCCCCTACTGACCGGGGTTTGGAGCTCCGGGAAGTCAGAGCCACTTGTTGCGGACTCAAGAGGGAAGCCAGACCAGAGATTCCCAGGCAGAAGAGCACCATCAGTCTTATCGCTGCTATTTAGGCTGCCACAGTGGGTGGCTCGGATCCCAACACTGGGAATCAATAAGTCGGACGTCGACTCAGAAACCTAATTAGAAAGGCGGTTCATCTACAATGAAGGGAAAAAAACAGCCTAAGAAGGCCGAGTATACTCAAAATCAGAACCCATCAGCAACAGAACAAGCCCTGATGGAAAAGGACTCATCAGCAACCGAACAAGCCCTGATGGAAAAGGACTCATCAGTAACGGAACAAGCCCTGATGGAAAAGGACTGTGTTCCATTATCTGAAGTAGGCTTTAAAAGGTGGATGATAAGAAACTTCTGGGAGTTAAAGGAACTTGTTCTAACCCAATGTAAAGAAACTAAGAACTTGGAAAAAAGGTTCGATGAAATGTTGAAAAGAATAGACAATATAGAGAGGAATACAAATGAACTTATGGAGTTGAAAAATACAACACGAGAACTTAGTGAAACATGTACAAGCTTAAACAGCCAAATGGATCAAGCAGAAGAAAGGGTATCAGAGATCGAAGATCAACTTAATGAAACAACACAACAAGACAAGAATAGAGAAAAAAGGATAAAAAGGAATGAGCAAAGTCTCCAAGCAATATGGGACTATGTGAAAAGACCTAATATACGCTTGATTGGTGTACCTGAATGTGATGGAGAGAATGAATTCAAGCTAGAAAATACTCTCCAGGACATTATCCAGGAAAATTTTCCTAATTTAGCAAAGCAGGACACTATTCAACCCCAGGCAATACAGAGAACACCACAAAGATATTCCTCAAGAAGACCAACCCCAAGGCACATAATCGTTAGATTCACCAAGATCGAAACGAAGGAGAAAATATTAAGGGCAGCCAGAGAGAAAGATCAAGTTACCCATAAAGGTAAGCCTATTAGGCTTACAGCGGATCTCTCAACGGAAACCCTACAAGCTAGAAGAGAGTGGGGGCCAATATTCAATATACTTAAAGAACAGAACTTTCAGCCCAGAATTTCATATCCTGCCAATTTAAGCTTTACATTTGAAGGAAAAATAAAATTTTTTAGGAACAAGGAAGTACTCAGAGATTTTATTACCACCAGGCCTGCTTTACAAGAACTTCTAAAAGAAGCACTATACACAGAAAGGAACAACCAATATGACCCTTTCTAAAAATACACCAAAAAGTAAAGAGCATTAACACAAAGAAGAATTTTTATCAATGAAAGGACAAAATAGCCAGTTAATATCAAACGGCAGCAACCCTAAATTTAAATCGACCAAATCTCCCAATCAAAAGATACAGACAAACTCTAATGGTATATCCAAAGATATACATAGACTCAAAATAAAGGGTTGGAAAAAAAAAAAAACCTACCAACCAAATGGAGAGCAAAAATAAATAAATAAGCAGGAGTTGCAATTTTCACATTTGACAAAATAGATTTCAAAGCTACAAGGATACAAGGATAAAAGGATTAATGTAATAATAAGAGATCTTAACACCCAGATACATAAGACCCATAATGAGATTTAGATTCAACGAGACAGAAAATTGATAACAATATCCGGGACTGGAACTAAGATCCAGAACAAATAAACTCAATAGGGCTCTCCATTTTAAACACACAAAATATACATTATTCACAAAATCTAACGATATATCTAAAGATATACAAAGACTCAAAACAAGGGGATGGAAAAAAGCTCACCAACCAAATGGAGAGCAAAAATAAATAAATAAAAAGCAGGAGTTGCAATTCTCACACTTAATAAAATAGATTTCAAAGCTACAAGGATGCAAGGGTAAAAGGATTAATGTAACAATAAGAGATCTTAACACCCAGATACATAAGACACATAATGAGATTTAGATTCAACGAGACAACAAATTGATAAGATATCCAGGACTTGAACTCAGAACCAGAACAAATAAACACAACAGAGGTCTCCATTTTAAACACATAAAATATGCATTAACCACTTTAAACACTCAAAATATTGATCGGCCATTATTGAAACCCATTTTAGGAATGAAGTAATATTCCTTTTTCCCTCTTTTTCTTTTTTTCCCCTTCTTTTTCTCTTTTTCCCAAAAAAAAAAAAAATTGACACCCTATTATCAAAACTGAAAGAGCTAGAGGAGCAACATCAAAAAAAAAAAAACTCAAAAGCTAGCTAGCAAAAGACAAGAAATAACTAAGATCAGAGCAGAACCAAGGGAGATAGAGACACAAAAAGTCCTTCAAAATATTAATAAATCCAGGAATTGTTTTTTTTAAAAGATCAACAAAACAGACCACTAGACAGATTAATAAAAAAGAAAAGAGAGAAGAATCAAATCGATGCAATAAAAAAGGATAAACAGATATCACTACCGATTCCTCAGAAATACAAACTACCATTCAGAGATTACTACAAACAACTCTATGCACATAAACCAGTAAACCTGGAAGAAATGGATAATTTCCTGGACACTTGCACCCTCCCAAGCCTAAACCAGGAAGAAGTTGAAAGCCTGAATAGACCAATAACAAGGGCTGAAGTTGAGGCAGCAATTAATAACTTACCAATAAAAAAAGTCCAGGTCCAGATGAGTTCACAGCTGAATTCTACCAGACGTACAAGAGGAGCTGGTACCACACCTTCTGAAACTATTCCAATGAATACAAAAAGAGGGAATCTTTCCCAAATTATTTTATGAGACTAACATCATCCTGATACCAAAACCCGGCAGAGACTCAACAAAAAAAGAAAACTTCAGGCCAATATTCATGATGAACATAGATGCAAGAATCTTCAATAAAATACTGGCAAACTGATTGCAACAGCACATCAAAAAGTTTGTCCATCACAATCAAGTAGGCTTCATCCCAGAGATGCAAGGCTGGTTCAACATACACAAGTCTATAAACGTAATCCACCACATAAACAGAACCAAAGACAGAAACCATATGATTATCTCAATAGATGCAGAGAAGGCCTTCGACAAAATTCAAGAGCACTTTATGCTAAAAACTCTCAATAAACTAGGTATCGATAGAACATATCTCAAAATAATAAAAGCTATTTACAACAAACCCACAGCCAATATCATACTGAATGGGCAAAAACTAGAAGCATTCCCTTTGAAAACTGGCACTAGACAAGGATGCCCTCTCTCACCACTCCTATTCAATATAGTTTCTAGCCAGAGTAATCAGGCAAGAAAAAGAAATAAAGGGTATTCAATTAGGAAAAGAGGAAGTTAAATTGTCTCTATTTGAAGACGGCATGATTGTTTATTTGGAAGACCCCATCATCTCAGCCCCAAATCTCCTTAAACTGATAAGCAACTTCAGCAAAGTCTCAGGATACAAAATCAACATGCAGAAATCACAAGCCTTCCTATACACCAATAACAGACAAACAGAAAACCAAATGAAGCATTAACTGCCATTCATAATTGCTACAAAGAGAATAAAATACCTAGGAATACAACTAACAAAGGATGTAAAGGACCTCTTCAAGGAGAACTACAAAGCACTGCTCAAGGAAGTAAGAGAGGACAGAAACAGATGGAAAAATATTCCATACCCATGGTTAGAAAGAATCAATATCATGATAATGACCATACTGCCCAAATTTTACAGATTCAATGATATCCCCATCAAGCTACCGATGACCTTCTTCACAAAACTGGAAAAAAATCACCTTAAATTTCATATGGAATGAAGAGAGCCAGCATAGCCAAGACAATCCTAAACGAAAAGAACAAATCTGGAAATATCACGCTGCCTGTCTTCAAACAATACTACCAGGCTACAGTAATTAAAACAGCATGGTACTGGTACCAAAACAGAGATATAGACAATGGAATGGAGCAGAACAGAGGCCTTGGAGGCAACACCACACATTTACAGCCATCTGATCTTTGACAAACCTGACAAAAACAAGCAATGGGGAAAGGATTCCCTGTTTAATAAATGGTGTTAGGAAAACTGGCTAGCCGTGTGTAGAAAGCTGAACAGACTCCTTCCTGACACCTTACACTAAGATTAACTGCAGATGGATTAAAGACTTAAACATAAGACCTAACACCATAAAAACCCTACAAGAAAACCTGGGCAACACTATTAAGGACATAGGCACAGGCAAGGACTTCATGACTAAAACACCAAAAGCAATGGTGGCAAAAGCCAAAATAGACCAATGGGATCTAATTAAACTTCAGGGCTTCTGTATAGCAAAAGAAAATATCATCAGAGTGAACCAGCAACCAACAGAATGGGAAAAAATATTGTGATCTACCCAACTGACAAAAGGCTGATATCCAGCATCTACAAAGAACTAAGACAGATTTACAAGAAAAAAACAAACAAAACCATTCAAAAGTGGTTGAAGGATATGAACAGACACTTTTCAAAAGAAGACATTCGTGAAGCCAACAAACATATGAAAAAATGCTCATCATCACTGGTCATTAGAGAAATGCAAATCAAAACTGCATTGCAGTACCATGTCATGCCAGTTAGAGTGGTGATCATTAAAAAATCTGGAGACAACAGATGCTGGAGAGGACATGGAGAAATAGGAACACTTTTACACTGTTGGTGGGAGTATAAATTAGTTCAACCATTGTGGAAGACAGTGTGGCGATTCCTCAAGGACCTAGAAATAGAAATACCATTTGACCCAGCAATCCCATTACTGGGTATATACCCACAGGATTATGAACCATTCTATTATAAAGACACATGCACACATATGTTCATTGTGTCACTGTTTACAATAGCAAAGACCTGAAATTAACCCAAATGCCCATCAATGATAGACTGGACAAGGAAAATGTGGCACATATACATAATGAAATACTATGCAACCATAAAAATGGATGTGTTTGTGTCCTTTGTAGGGACATGGATGAATCTAGAAATCATAATTCTCAGCAAACTGACACAAGAACAGAAAATCAAACACCACATGTTGTCACTCATAGGTGAGTGTTGAACAATGAGAACACATGGACACAGGGAGGGGAGCATCACACACTGGGGTCTGTTGAACGGGACTAGAGGAGGGACAGAAGGGGATGGGGAGGTTTGGGAGAGGTAACATGGGGAGAAATGCTAGATACAGGTGATGGGGGGATGGAGGCAGCAAACCACCTTGGCATGTATGTACCTATGCAACAATCCTGCATGATCTGCACATGTACCCCAGAACCTAAAGTACAATTTAAAAAAAAAAAAACTTTATTTACAAAAATAAGATGGCTAGCCCGCAGGTTGTAGTTTGCTGACCCCTCTTCTAAACATTTTTTTAATTAGGTAAATCTACAAATAATGTGAAAACTTTTCAAATTATGTTGTAAAAAAATGTATGTTTCAAAACAGATTGTGTAGGCTGGGTGCGGTGACTCACACCTGTAATCCCAGCACTTTGGGAGGCTGAGGTGGGTGGATCACAAGGTCAGGAGTTCGAGACCAGCCTGGCCAACATAGTGAAACCCTACCTCTACAAATAAATATTAGCTGAGTGTGGTGGCAGGTGCCTGTAGTCCCAGCTACTCAGGAGACTGAGGTAGGAGAATCACTTGAACCCAGGAGGTGAAGGTTGCAGTGAGCTGAGATTGCCACACTGCACTCCAGCCTGGGCAACAGAGTGAGACTCTATCTCAAGAAACAAACAAACAAACAAAACCCAGATTGTGTATTTATAGAGTATGTGGTTATTTTATTAAAAGTTATACATACAGGCTGGGCGCGGTGGCTCAGGCCTGTAATCCCAGCACTTTGGGAGGCCGAGACGGGTGCATCACGAGGTCAACAGATCGAGACCATCCTGGTCAACATGGTGAAACCCCGTCTCTACTAAAAATACAAAAACTTAGCTGGGCATGGTGGCGCGTGCCTGTAATCCCAGCTACTCAGGAGGCTGAGGCAGGAGAATTGCCTGAACCCAGGAGGCGGAGGTTGCAGTGAGCCGAAATCGCGCCATGGCACTCCAGCCTGGGTAACAAGAGCGAAACTCCGTCTCAAAAAAAAAAAAAAAGTTATACATACTAAATTATATATAAAACTGTGTGTAACTACAAAGAAAAAGACAGAAGAAAGAGAAAGGAAAAGAAGGAAAAAGAAAGAAAGAAGAAAGAGAAAGAAAGAAGAGAAAGAAAAGAGAAAGGAGAAAGAAAGAAAAGAAAAGAAAGAAAAAAAAGAGAGAGGGGGTACTTCTGAATGAGATTTAAGTGAAGACCTCTCTTCCCATCTCAGTTCCTAAGGGATTGCCCCAGTGCCCCTAAAATACTGGTTTTGGTGGCTGGTCCCTGCTGAGTAATTTCTTAGTTCTTTGGTGGGGATAAAGGAGGTGGGTCTAAATGCATTTCAGAGTGTGGGCTCTTTTTCTCTCCAAGACGGACACATTGGGCAGAAAGATTTTTGTTACTGTACCCATTTTGGGGAAAAGGGATTCAAGAGGCTAGGAAGGCTCTTTAGTATGTAGTCCCTTGGAAATTCACACCACAACACGTTTACCACACTCGACTTCAAGCAATCCGATATATGTGTGTGTTTCTCTTACAATAGCTACATTTTCATGCCAGACTCTTCTAGTTCAGCTCACACCTGGGCTCTGTTACTATCTACAGGAAATTTCCTCTCCCTGGATTTCACATTTGATGTTTATCTTAAAACTTTAAATATTTAAAGTACTTTTTACAAATTTGCAAAATTCCATCTTCTCTGTTTATCTGTTATTGTTGATTTTGTTGTAAAAAAATAAGTAAAACGTATTCTTCATTTATGCACATTTTGAAGCTGAGTTGCAGATTTTTTGGTAAGACTCAGAGTAATAAAAGGATGCAAATATTATTAAGCTGTTAAATAGAAGAACAAATGATGGTAAATGTGCTCACTGGAATACAACCCATCATTTGTAATAAGTAAATGCCTTACAGACAGAACGAGAAGGTAAAATATCTAAGTATTTATGTTGCATTAAACAAGCCAAACAAATAAAAATATATATTATATTACTTCACTTTTATACATTCCGATAAATAAAAAATGCATCTAAAGTAATCTAATGCAGATCAGCAGTTGCCTGGGGAAATGAAAGAAGAAGAAGAGGGGAGAGGAGGAGGAATATAGGAGAACAAGAGGAAATACTGAGAATTCACTTGTCCACTTTCTCGATAATGATGACAGTTTCATTATGTTTATTTATTATACATTTTAAATGTGTGAAGCTTATTGCCTTTCAATTCAGCCTCATAAAATGTACTACAAGCAAACAAATGGAAAATTAGAGAAGGAAGGAGTAATAAAAAGGTAGAAAAATATGTTAATGTCAGAACTACTTGAAAATTAATGTGCTGAACCCTAATTTTCTCCATATTTCCAGGTGAGTGCTGGAGTAGGACAACATCACACACGCTCTTACTACAGAAAATGGGTTCTGGAAACCACACTAGGCAGGTCCAGCTTTGTCCTGGAGCTGGTTTAGGGAGCAGGCAGAGCCAGTGATCAGGAGCACAGAGCCAGACACCAGGGTCCACTCATCCCAGACAGGAGCTCCTAGATACACACAGAGCCCCTCCCTGTGTGGATTCTCTTCTGCATCTGTAAATGGAGAAGATATTGAATCCTGCCGAACATAATTCACACAAATATTTAAACATGAAATAGGGTGATCAGGGCAAAGTGTTTGTCACAGCGCAATTTCATAATGAGTCAGCATATGTTCCAAATAACATCATTGTCAGCAAACACCTGGAGGGCACTCATCTTCTCTGGGCACAGCCTCCCCCTCAAGCGTCCCACCCTAGAACTTGCTATATAGTAGGACACATGCAAATAGGGCCTCCCTGTACTGAAGAAAACCAGCCAGCCCTGACCCTGCAGCTCTGAGAGAGGAGCCTTAGCTCTGGGGTTCCAAGGCATTTCCACCTGCTGATCAGCACTGAACACAGAGGACTCAGCATGGAGTGGGGGCTGAGCTGGGTTTTCCTTGTTGCTATTATAGAAGGTGATTCATGGAAAACTAGGGAGACTGAGTGTGTGTGGACATGAGTGAGAGAAACAGTGGATGTGTGTGGCAGTTTCTGACCAGGATGTCTCTGTGTTTGCAGGTGTCCAGTGTGAGGTGCAGCTGGTGGAGTCTGGGGGAGGCTTGGTTCAGCCCGGGGGGTCCCTGAGACTCTCCTGTGCGGCCTCTGGATTCACCTTCAGCAGCTATGCCATGCACTGGGTCCGCCAGGCTCCGGGGAAGGGGCTGGAGTGGGTCTCAGTTATCAGTACTGATGGTAGAACCACATACTACGCAGACTCCGTGAAGGGCCTATTCACCATCTCCAGAGACAACGCCAAGAACTCGCTGTATCTGCAGATGAACAGCCTGAAAACCGAGGACACGGCCGTGTATTACTGTGCGAGAGACACAGTGAGGGGAGGTCAGTGTGAGCCCGGACACAAACCTCCTGCAGGGGACCCCGCCACCACCAGGGGGCGCCCGGGCGCTGTGCACGGGGCTGTCTCGGGGCAGGTGCAGGTGCTGCTCAGGGCTGGCTTCCTGCCATGGTCTGGGGCTGCCTCATAGTCACATTTCCCCAGGGAACCTCCCAGATTTACAATTCTGTACTAACATTTGATGTCTCTAAATGCAAAACTTTTTTGTCCCTGTTTGTTTTTGTAACAGGAGGACACATCTTCACCTTGACAGGAGCCACAGTGTCACTTTGGGGACAGATAATCCTTCTGTGGTCAGCAGAATGAAAGTCCCAAAGAATCTCAAGGGAACCTGGGAGTGTTTTCCAATTAGACTTAGGACAGAGACCTCCATGGGAATCTCTGTTAGAACAGGCTTTGAGTTCTAACAGGAGCCAAGAGGCAGCTCACCCAGGGTCGGGGCCCTTTAAACCTGATGGTATCACAGCTGTCGCCCCCTTGTCTTGTAAAACTGTGCATATCTGACTCAGACCGATTCCGTTGACCCTCTTTCTGCTAATCCATTTTCCTTCTCTGCAGACCTGATTCTCACAGTTCCCTTTCTTCTTCTCTTCCCTGAAAACAGAGAATTAGTCGTCTTTAGTCAAAATCCCAGGGCTCATGTCTGCAGGACCTGGGTAGGCTGAGGGACTTTCTCAGTCCCCATTGCCTGGACATTCCTGCTCTCTTCTGAGCATGGAGGCATTTGGCAAATGAAGTGGACATCAGTCATAAAGGCAATACTAGTTTTCTCCAATGGGATATTGATGCCGAACTGATCTTGTGCTTCTCACACTGTCACACAGTTTGAACTCTCACATCCGACTTTGAGGAAAGCTAAGATTGGACACTCCATTGTGCTGTGAGCTCTGGGTAACAGTAATTGTAGGGTCTGGCTAGGCATGCCTAAGGTCAATACTGCTGGCCATTGGGAAAGGCAGGCTGGGATTCCCAGGAAGATCTGCATCTGCCGTCCACCATGGCGTCCATTGTCTTCTGTTAGGTTCTGATTGAGTCAGCCCCACCTGGATTATCTAGAACACTCTTTGTGACTTAGGAAAAAATAATGGCAGGCTTCTCTAACACCTGTATGATGCCACTAGAGCAACACCCGGGTTAGTGTGTGATTGAGAGACTGTGGTCTAGTCAAGGTGACAAGTAAAATTATTTGTTTCCATTATTATATTTTATTTTATATTTGGCAATATAGACATGCTCATATTATAAATATGTGTGCTACATTTTTTTGGCCAAAAACTTTGGAATCAGAACAACCTTATTTGAAAAGGGGCTAGGCAAACTAAGACGAGACCTGCTGGGCTACACTTCCAGTAAGTTAAGGTGTTCTTAGCCACAGGATGAGATCGGAGGTCTGCAGTAGACACAGTGGTAAAGACCTTGCTGATAAAGGTTACAGGAGAGAAGCTGGCCAAAGCCCACCAAAACCAAAACAGCAACAAGTCACCTCTGTTACTATACGCTAATTATAATGCATAGCATGCTGAAAGACACCCCCCTCCTGCTCCGTGACAGTTTACCAATGCCATGGCAACATCAGGAAGTTTCCCTGTATGGTCAAAAAGGAGGGGAGGAACCCTCAGCTTCGGGATTTGCCTGGGGAATTCATGAGTAATCCGTCTGTTGTTTAACATTTAATCAAGAAATAACCATGAAAACGGATAAATGGCAGATCATACCTCTGCTCTGCCTGTAGAGTAGCCATTTTTTTAACTTTTAGTTGTGTAATAAACTTGCTTTCATTTCACTCTGTGGATTTGCCACTAACTGGGACCCCTTTCTGGTAACATTTCTGTTGTTATTGGTTTTCTAAGCAGAAAACTCCAAGATGGGATGAAGGTTCCCCAAATTTTTGTAAGAAGTACGTTCACCCTTTGAGAAATGCACAGCGGGTGGGATGAGGCTGTGAAGCTGGTGGCATATGAGGGAAGCCTGACCCTGAGTGAAGGAGAGAGGGAGGGAGGATTGGGTGGAAGGTTTCTATACTCCTGCGCTGTGCAAGGAAGGTGCAAAACATACTTAAGTCTTGTGCAAGTCAGTGCTACCTGGCAGGGGTCCCGGTGACTCTCCGAAATGGCTCTGCTTACGAGTCACTGTGGAGTCAGTCCTTTCATTAGAGTGGACATGGGACTCAGCACACGCCACGCCACAGGTGTCAGAAAGCAGCTGCTGGGAACCAGATCCATGTGCAGTTTGCTGCCTGTAGGAGGAGGCAGGGAGGTGCACTCTCGGGGTCAGCACACGGTTTTTGGATTTTTATGGAGAAGACCTGCTTTTACTTTATTTTATTGGAAAACATATAGACAGAGGTGTACCTGTAAACAATTGTAATTTTCATATTCATTTTAATTGCATCCATTTTTAATTCTGCATTAGTTCCTGAAACACTGTTGCATTTTATATAGGTATTATTCAATGGATCAAGAACATGAATTTTCCACTTTCACTGTTTTTCTCCACGTGCAGAGACCTTGAGCAGAGCATGTCTGGTGCTTATCCACACTATCCCTTGTGTCCCCTGGGAAAGAGCAGAAACTTGTCTGACTGCAGAATCTGGGGTAGGAGTCTGCACACCTCAGAGCCTGCAGAGACACCCGGTGAATTTCTCTGAAGACAGAGTGCTGTCCCATGTGGGGGGACCTCTAGCTTTCCCACTGCCAGAGATGGCTGCTCAGCTGTCATCCAGAGGTTATCAACCAGAGCACTTGGAAGCCTGTTTCAGCACATTCATTATGTAACTTGCCACCATTAGACTGCAGGTAATAACTCAGTCTTGATTTTTCTGAGCATTCTCACCTTATTCATTTGTACGTTTGGTTATAGAGCACTACGCACTGGGGTCTGTTGGGGGGAATAGGGGAGGGACAGCGGAGGGTGGGGAGTTGGGGAGAGATAGCATGGGGAGAAATGCCAGATATAGGTGAAGGGGAGGAAGGCAGCAAATCACACTGCCACGTGTGTACCTATGCAACTATCTTGCATGTTGTTCACATGTACCCCAAAACCTAAAATGCAATAAAAAAAATTTAAAAAAGAAAAATCTATTTAAATAAAAAAAAGAAAGGTTATCTTTTAGTTTATGATTCAAACCTTGGAATTTTATGAACAGATAAAGAATAATACAAAATGTGTCCAGTTTGGGGGCATGTGTAAATGAACGTTCATACCGTTTTTTTATGTGTGTGGTTATTTCAGTCAGCTACACCCCAATGAACATGATTCCTGAATTATATAGTCGAACTACAATTAGATTTGCTGAAAATTTCCTGCAGTAATGTCCATGAGGCTGACCCTGTCACCTTGCTATGAGGATGCTCAGTGCACAGGTGAGGTCACACGAGAGAAGTCCAAGGGGCAGCTTGCAGGCCTGGTGGGACTCCTGGCCAGGACCCAGACATAGGACTGGGTGTCTCAGAAGGAGATCCCCAGACCTCTTTTAGCTGGTCTTCATGGGCAGCAGAGGACCAGAAGGAGATGCTCAGAACTCAGCCAAGACATAGCCCCAGCCAGGAGCAGGTGCAGTGAGGAACCAGCCGGAGAACCTCTGACTACAATATTGGGTTGTCTTCCTTTGCTTAACACCATCCAGCCCTAAGGAGACCACCCACTGTATCATCTGTAACCCACAACTTTCTTGTTCCAAAGCAAAACCGAGGTAAATATGACTCTGCAGTTAGCTCCTTGAACCTGGGTTATTTTTCGGAGTATGACATCATCCACAGCTTGATGGTTCTTATGTCAAAATCAACACGCACATTTAGTCAGCATGAAGACTGTGTTTTATCTCATGGTAAAAATGTTTATTTAATTAACAGTTACATTTTATGGGAAAGCACCTGTATTAGTTCATTTTCACATTGCTATAAATATATCACCTGAGAGTGGGAAATTTTTTTTTAATTTTTTATTGCATTTTAGGTTTTGGGGTACATGTGCAGAACATGCAATACAGTTGCGTAGGTACACACATGGCAGTGTGTTTTGCTTCCTTTCTTCCCTTCACCCACATTTGGCATTTCTCCCCAGGCTATTCCTCCCCACCTCCCCCTCCCACTGGCCCTCCCCTTTTCCCCCCAATAACCCCAGTGTTTAGTACTCCCCTCCCTGTGTCCATGTGTTCTCATTTTTCATCACCCGCCTATGAGTGAGAATATGCGGTGTTTCATTTTCTGTTCTTGTGTCAGTTTGCTGAGAATGATGTTCTCCAGATTCATCCATGTCCCTACAAATGACACGAACTCATCACTTCTCATTGCTGCATAATACTCCATGGGAAATTTTTAAAGCAAAAAGGTTTAATTGACTCACAGTTCCGTATGGCTGGGTAGCCTCAGGAAACTTACAGTCATGGTGGAAAGTGAAAGGGAAGCAAGTGCCTTCTTCACAAGGCAGCAGGACAGAGAGAGAGAGAGAGAGAGAGAGAATGAGAGGGAGGAGAAAGAGCCACAAACTTAACAGACAACCAGATCTCCTGAGAACTCTATCAGAACAGCCTGGAGGAAACCACTCTCACAATCCGATCACCTCCCACCAGACCCCTCACCTGACACTTGGGGTTTACAATTCCAGATGAGCTTTGGGTGAACAGACAGAGACAAACCATATCAGAATTTGTAGGTGGGAATTGGTCAATTTATAAATTATGAGTGAAGTATAAGAAAAGTAAATGGTGCCCGTGTGGTAGTTATCCAATTAATCTATAAATCATCTCAATATTCATTTTATGAGAGGGCTAGGACAACTTGAGATGGAGAGATAGAGAGACAGAGGGACAGAGAGGTAGAGAGATAGAGAGACATAGACAGAGATAGAGAGAGAGATAGAGAGACAGAGAGATAGAGAGATGGATAGTTCTACCAAATACTATGAATATATATTACTATATATAGTATAGAAATAGAAATCATATTTTATATAGTATTTGACAG